ATTTTGCACTGTTTCCAGGGCGAGTGAGTTGGTATACACATTCTTTAAGTGCAGGTCCTCTGTTCCCTACAGGTCCATGGATTTCCTGGACATACTCCCCGTTGGTTTTCAAAGCCAGGTGTTTTGGGGGTTTGTCTCTTCTGTACAGGATCTGGATCCCTCCCAAGTGTAGATATGTGCACCTGGGGTGTGGTCTTTTTTCTTTCTTTTTTCTTTTTTTTTTTTGTGAGACCTTATCTCTGCCACCTACCCATCTTGATGCTGCCCTTTTATCCTTCATCATAGAGGCTTTGTTCATCCAATTTTCAGGTCTTTTTCAGAGGAAATTATTCCATATGTAATTGTGGATTTGTTGTGTCACGGGAGGAGGTGTGGTCAGGATCTTCCTATACTGCCATCTTGAACTGCTCCTTAGTCTCCATTTGTAGATTTAAGAAAGAGCCGTCTCTTTCTCTTAATTTCTTGGAAAAGTGCTCTTATGTTCAAGGTGGTCAAATTCATCTCTCCTTTTTTCTTTTGTTGCCCTAATTTGGTTTTTCTTTAATCTTCACCTGAAGATTTTTTAAATTGATTTTTAGAGAGTGAGGTAGGGGGAGATGGAAAGGAAGAGGGAGGGAGAGAGAGAGGGAGGGAGGGAGGAACATCTATGTGAGAAACGTCGATCAGTTGCTTCCCATATGCACCCTGACTGGGGGTTAAACCCGCAACCTGTACATGTGCCCTGACCAGGAATCGAACCTGCCACCTTTTGGTGTACAGGACAATGCTCCCACTAAGCTGAGCCACCCAGCCAGGGCTGTTGCCCTAATTTATATGCACTATTATTCTCTGAATTGGGAGCAATAACTATACGCTAGTCCAAGCTTTTTTATGTTGTCTCATAAGTACCAAGGAGTTAGTGCTACCTGAAATATATAGAAAGATACCACCTGAATGAAGGATCAGTGCTGCTCAGCATCCGTGAAGGCTAATGCAATGTAATGCTAGAAGATTTTAGAAATCTCTGTGAGCATGAAAGGGTTAAGGATTGCATAATAATCATGTTTGAGAACTGCAAGATTTTACTTTTTAAATTTTAGTCTTAAGTTACTGAATTTGAAGACTTTGGGGGATGATGATTTAGGAGTACATAGAAAATGGGAGGTTAAGACCGGACAAAGATTACTCAGAAACTTGGAAGCAGAGATGAGAGGGAGCCCGTGCCTCTGGCTGCGTTTCATCAGCATTCAAATCTGCATGCCTCTGTGCATCTTATTAACATGACACCTGAGCGTGATTCTTTAATGCTAAAGAATTATCAGTAACTGAAAACCACTTGTTTTTTGGCCTTTCTCCTAACCTCTTTTCTCTTCATAATTAGCATTTCTTTACCCTGTATGATAGGAATTGTGAAAGTAGTGTGGAATTGGATAGTGATGATAAAAGCAGGTGATACCTCTAGTGTGATTCTCTTTGGTGTTTTCATTCCAATAAGAAGAAAATAAGTTTGTTTTTGGCAACCATACTTCACTCTCCCTCCTTCCCACTGATCGGCTTGGCTATGATGTTTATTTTGATTCACATTGTTCTAGATTATATAGCAATTAGGCTGTCAGCTATTTAATAAACTTGTTTTTCCCATCTTGGCTTTTTGCCTATTCTTGAAGCAACCAAACCTTCTTTTCTTTGAACTTAGAAACACAATTGAATAAAACTATTGTTAGCCAATATTATATATAATTAGGCTCATAAGCTTAATATTCGGTGTTTACAATTCCTAGAATGATAGAATTTGAAACATAAGGACCTTAAATAAGTCATCTAGTCCATCTGATTTTTGTGAATATTTCTTTCTACATAAAATAAGATAGTATGCTGTCATATCTAAATTTGTCTTCATTAAGTTTTATGATAGTAAAATAGGCTCTATCCAGTGAATGTGTGAATTGAGTCTTATTTGTCCTACCCTTAATTTTCCTCAGACTTCAAGTCATTTTAATATCTTTCAGAATTTCATAGACTTCAGTCATGCCTTATTACTATACAGAAAGTTCTTTCTTCCTTTCTTCCCTTTCTTTTTGTTAACCCTCACCTGAAGTTTTTTTCTCCACTGATTTTTAGAGAGACTGGGAGTGGGGAGAGGAGAGAGAGAGGAGAGAGAGAAACATCAATTGGTTGCCTCCTGCATGTGCCCCACCCACCCCAGCCGGGTGCGGATTGAACCTGCAACCCAGGTATGTGCCCTTGACGGGAAATCAAACCCGCGACTCTTTGGTGTGTGGGCGACACTCTAACCACTGAGCAAGCCAGGCAGGGCGCTGAAAGTTCTAATTTCTTTTGATTCTGCTTTCCTTACAAATAGTCCTGTTCCCCCAATCCTCTCCGCCTACAGTTTTTATTTTAATCGCCTCTTTCTGGACAATCTCCAATCATAATATACTCTGCTTGAGACCTACTGACCAAAAGAATATATGTTGTTCATGCATGGATTCGTCATTAAATTGTCGAGTTTTATTTCCAGTATCCTTCTGGTTTTTACCAGATACTTTGTTGCTTTGGTTCTGGAAGCATATTAAGGATAACAATTTTAGAAACGTGCCAGGTTTTTTGAAAACCTTCTGCCCTGTGTCTGATAGCTTGGACCACATCTTTCGGTATATTTTAGATTATTTTTCTAGAGGCGGATTTTTTTACACTTGCCAGTGTAGAACTAGATCTGCCCCTTTTCTGCCCATTTATACAACCTTCAGTTCTTCCTATATATTTTTTGCTGTCAACTTGGCCCTTAAGTAGCCAGAATTGCTTTAGAAATATAGGAATGTTCCTAAATATTGCATCATTAGTGAACTTGACAATTTCCAAGTATATATCTTTTTTAAATTTATAGCTCTCTTAAATAAGACTGTTCCTAGAACTAGTATTTCAACTTTACCATCCAGAGATTTGCTCATTTATCCTCATATTCTGTTTTTTGTCTTCATCTATAATGCAGAACAATTCCTTTTTTCCCATACCTCTAAAGACCCTTGTCAGAAATCTTTTAAATAAAATTTCATTTAGTTTACAAAACTAAATTGCTTTCCCCTCATTTTATGTTTATTTTATGCATTAATCAAAATACTATTTTGGTAATATTAAGCTATTTGAAAAATTTTTAAAGGAGCAATGATTATCTTAGAGACTTGTGTGCATTGTCTTTTTTTCCCCCTTCCTGTTGAATTACAGCATTGGTAATAAGGGCTCTGGGAGGAAGTTCAGCCTTTGGCAGTGTTTTAAAGTAGTTAAGTTAGATTTCAACTCTCATTTTTACATCCATGTTGTCAAAAGCCTGTTTTGTCTGACCTAAATTTTTAACTTCTCAATTTCTAGTTCCCATTCTCTTTTCTTCCCAATATCTCACTCAGGAGTTCTATATTTTTTTAAATGTCAAGGGATGCAGCTAATCCATTCCAATATGTTAATGAGAAGATGCTTTTATTTCTCCATAGCCAGAATTGACCATTTCTGAGCCTTCTCTTGGTGATGGTGATGATGATGATGATGATAGATAACACTATTCTAAGGGCCAAGCCTGTTCTAAGCACTTCACAGATATTTACTTAACTCCCACAGTAGTCCAGTGAGGTAGATGCTATTATTCTTTTCCCATTTTGTACTCGAGAAAATTGAAGCAGAGCCCTGGCCAGGTAGTTCAGTTGGTTTGAGCGTCACCCCGTGCACCAAAGGGTTGTGGGTTCCATTCCCGGTCAAGGCACATACTCAGGTTGCAGGTTCGATCCCTGGTTGATCCATGTTTCTCTCTCACATTCTCTCTCTCTCAATAAAAAACATATCCTCGGGTAAGGATTAAAAAAAAAGAATTGAAGCAGAGAGAAATGCAGTAACTTGGCCAAAATCACACAGCTAAAAAGTGTTGAGAGTCAGGATTTGAACCAAGGAGTCAGTTCCAAAGAACACTTTTAATCCTGTTATGTATTTTAAATGGCACTATTTAAAATTTGGTGTTATTTTCTGACTATAGAATACAGATGTTTGTCTTAAATTTTTCATCTTCGATATATCAGGCAAAATATGTACACAAAATGATTGATAGGAGGTGTGTGGTGAGATAAGCATCATTTGTGATACTAGATTCCTTTTTATAAAGAGTTCAAAGTATGCTTAGTTTGCTTTAGGAAGCTAAAACTGTCATATATTCACTCATTCATCAAATATTTATTCAGTGCCTAACAAGTGATAGGCACTATTCTAGGTGCATGAGATATATCACTGAATAAAAAAGATAAATATCTATTGTGGAGAACCTACATGCTGGGAAAGGGGTGCCAAAGACAGCAGACATTGTGAATTAAAATAAGGTGACATTTGAATAAAGACTTGAAAGACATAAGGGAGTTAGATGTGAGTATCCCAGGTAGAGGGAACAGGCAGTGCAAAGGCCCCGAGGTGGAGCTGTGTGTGGTGTGTACAGGGATACCTTGGAAGCCACCGTGGCTGGAGCAGAATGGGCAAGGGGAAGGAAAAGATGTAGTAGGTGGGCTGCTACAGAGGGATCCCAGATAGGGAGGACCTTATATGCCATTGTAAAGCCTCTGGCGTTTACTCTGAGCAAAATGAGGAGCCGTGTGTTTATTTCCTCTTATGCCAGCTACTATACCTGGTCTTTTATAGACATTATTTCCTGTGCTCTTATCCAGATCCCTAGAAGGTAGATGCTTTTATCACCCCATTTTATAGAAACAGGTACTAAAGTTTAGAGACTAAATATCTTGACCAAGGTGGCACAGCTCCATATGTGAAAGGATCAGGATTCGATTCCAGGCTGTATTATTCTTAAAACCCATGGACTTAGCCAGTTTGTGAGAAACGTCTTGACTGTATTGGGGACAGCAGCTCAGGAAGTAGAATCAGCGGGGTCCCGGCAGCGCTGTTTGGCGCCACCATTGTGTGTGAACTGCATCAGCAGGTGCATGTTCTGCGCGGGGCTCCCGCTTTCGCACACTGACCCTCCCGTCCCGCAGGCGGCGCGGAGGCGGGCGCGTTCCCGGGCCGCGAGGAGGGCAGCGCGGGGCCCGAGGAGAACGAGGAGGTGATGCGCGCGCT